TATTTCTTTTATTATTATTTAAATTATATATTTACATTATATTCTAGAAGAATATAAATATAATATAAAATAAACTATATCCATTTAAATTATATGCTGCATATATAAAAGCTCTCAATTAATACAAGTTTACTCCTTAGGCTCCTATTAGCATTAAGTTGCTTTTTACTGTTTTTTTCTTAATAAATAATTACAGAGCTTTTTCAGGCTCCTCTGAATTATAGCATTCAGAAACTGTGTAAGTTTTAAATATTCTTGCTAGGATATGACCACTTCAACTGGGTGATCTAGCCAGTTTGCTATCTGTTCTTGCCTTCATGCACATTCTCTACAAGGAAAAATTACTTTCAGTTACTGGCACAGAAAATATCAAACCCTTAGTTTCTGTACTGAAAGAAATAAAATTTAAAAGTGGTATCTTATAAGATTACTATAGTGAAGTTTCATTCAGACTAATTGAATTAAATGAGTTTAATAACTCTCTAGAAAGCAAAAACCCGCCGCTTGTGATTTATTTTAATTGAAGTTGTTCAGACAGAGGATGTAAAGAAAAATCTTTGACTAGACTGCATGCTCTAAAACCTAACTAAAAGTAAGTCTTTTGAAGTTTCCAAGAGTCCAGATTAAATCACATGCTGTCAAAGTGTAATCAAACTAAACAGGAATTTTCATTGAATTCTGTACATTACACTTTTTAACTGCTAAATGCAAATGACAAAAAGTTCAGGAAAACAATGGTATCAGGCAGTTCTGTCATTTTTAAGCCCAAGCAATGCATGAGTCTTAACACCCTTAAACTACTTGATCCTGGTACACTCTTACTAAGATCTGCTGAAAGGAGCAAATGTCAGGGATAATTCAGCTCCTAAACCAGTTGTGGTGGAAGGCAGGGATCATTTCAAGACCATTTTGGAGCCATGTACCCCTAAAAGAATGCTAGACAAATCCACCCCTAATGAGGGTGGGAGATGAAAAAGATTGTGAGAAACAAGTCAGGACCAGTAACCTTGGGCTATGAAGGAGGTTCTTGAGAGCCTAATTCTTGTCACAAGGTCAGGCTTTTACAAAGCAATTATTAAGGATCTCCATAGTATCAACATACAGGCACACACACGTACTCAAAGCCTTTTGAACCTCAGGGATTCTGGACTCATTTCCCTTCTAATAATCTTTTCCCCCCCTACTTACACTGCTTGTAAAAGTCCGTTAGAGTTATTGTAGGGATGATATGTCTCCTGGCTTGTGCAGGCAATGTAGTTGTACTGATCTGCCCCAAACTAAAGGGGAGAACCAGGTATATCATACAATAACAGAATTTTTGAGTTAGAAGGGACTTTGAAGATCACCTACAGTGGCACCTACAGAAGGCAGTGGTACCTTTCACTAGAACACATGAAGTGCAGTGCTGGACAAAAAGAGAAAAACAAAATCTTAATTTAAAGCCTATGTTGCAACAGAGAAATCTAGTGTGACTACTTCTGTAATTTTTGCTCATGCAACTCTGAGGTATAGAATTTTATGAGTGTACAGAGTTAAGTGTTGGACAGTACTGGAAGAAACATTTCTTTTATGTAACTACATTCTTATAGATGACCAGCTGCTGAAATAAATAGTGGAAAGCAAGAAAATTTCGGAGTTTTGTAGTAAATATTATCTGTGCAATATGGTGTCAAAGCCTGTTTAAAATGGGAGTAATTCAACTTAGTTTGACTATTTTCTTTTTCAGAAACCACTGCTGTATACTGAAATTATTTTCTTTTATGACTGAAACACAGTCTGTGATCACGATTATAACTTGTTGAAATTATAAGGACCAGCTGCAATTAGATAGGCTGTAGATGTCTACATTTCAAAATCTGGCATGATTTTTTTTTTTTTTTCCAAGGGCAAAAATTCTATTTTCATTTCTTTGTAGTACCAGGACCTGGAGTTCCTGTCAATTTTTTTAGAATAACCACATAGCTGTTATCTCCTCAGTGTTTCCTTCTGCTTAATAAGGGCTGAGCTAAAGGTACAGAACACTCTGAGACAATTTTTTGTGCTCTGATGCTTTAATTTTCCCCAGCAACATGACATCTTACCAACAAAGCAATACAATAATTACTGATCAGATCAACATGAATCCTAATGTCATATGTATGAAGATGTGTCGTGGTTTTAAACTAATAACTAAGAAAATTACTTACTTTTTGCTGTGAGATATGGATTAGAACAAGAGCAAAACAGGCATACAATTTAAAAGGGAAAAAAAGAAAGTTTATTGACAAACCACGATAATAAGAACACCAGAATAAACTTCCAGAAAAACCTTTCTATCCCCTATCTACCCACTATTCTCTTGTTCACATGACAACAGAGACAAAAACTCTGGAACTCTGATGGTTAAAACAGTCCCAGTTCTTGCTAGTCTTTTCACCAGTCTTTATAGAGAAACAGAAGTTTCTTCCTGTTAATTTATGGAGTTTCTCACAAGAAAACTATTTTTGTTATAGTTTTCTATTGCCCTAATGTTAGCTGCTCAGAGCTGCTATTATTAGAGTTCACTCCTCCCATTTTCACATCACTCTGAAGTGTGTATGGGCCATGAGTCTAGAGATAGCATTTTTAAGGATAAGTTATTCAAAGGCAAAAAAAAAAAGTCTTCTTCATCTGTTTCTGTGAGCTTCACCAGAAAACAGTTTTCTCATTGCCTCTCAAGGCTTCAAATCTCCCAACAGTTTTCTCATTGCCTCTCAAGGCTTTTAATCTCCCAGCACTTCACTATACTATAATTACTCTTTACTCAAATTTACACTTTGAACACTATTCCTCTCTAGATCCTATATCATGAATTAAAGGAGTTCTTTTCAGGACTTCCTTGTCCATTTCCATAGTTTTAACTGGGAGACATTTCAGCTTAATTAAAGCATCTTCTTAATTCTCTACCTTTCCTGAAGCTTCTTTTCTTTCCTGTCACTGGTAGTTTATAAAGTCTCTTTTCATGTTGATCACTCTCTTTCTCTCTCTCTGGATAAAAAGATTAATCCGCAAGTCTCATCTGGGTAATGAAAGAGTTAACATCTTGCCCAGGCTTTTGTAGGTAGTTCGGAGATCTCTGCCGAACAGGAGCTGGAGCCGTCTGCGATGGAAAGTTCCTCATGGCTGCTCTGGAGAGTGCGGTTGCTGCTCCAACCCGCTGCAAGTCCAAGGCCTCTCTCTTTCTTTACTGAGCAGTTTCTAGTGAATTAGTTACAGCAAAACCTGCAGCCGAGCCAGAGATCGGCTCAGCCTGGCCCGGGGAAAACCTTCCCCAGGCCCCCCCATCTCCCGGCCGGGAGACGGGGCAGGCCCGGCCCCATCCCCGCCCGGCCGCATGGCCTGGGCAGGGACGGGAGGCCTGAAGCTCCACCACCCGTCACAGCCAGGAAACAAAGAGCACCCAGAGAGCTCTGCTTTTACATTTTAAGGTAGGGTTCACAAGTTGATCCCACTTTTCAATGGCCTAAACTGCTGTCAATTCCCAGCAATGACCGATAATTGGTCAGGAGAAAAGACTCCAAGCACTTCCCAGCAACTCCAACTCCCTTAAAGGTAAAGTAACTCCATGACAAGATGTTAAATTTACAACATATGTGAGCTGCCTAATAGACAGAATTACAACCATTCTCAAGGAGTGGTGTTCTAAGCGAAGGCAGAAAGGCCTTGAGAAGGTGGAGGTTCTGGAGGGAAAGCATGTGAGGAGTGGCTGAGGTCACTTGGTCTGTTCAGACTTATAAATACATATTATAATACTGCCTTTTCACAAAGCCATCGGAATGGATGTCATATATATACTGTTAAAGTGATTTTGCTATAGTTTTTATTTTAACTAAACTTAGGCATAGTAGTGGAATAGCTGATAGTCATGCTTGAGCTGTTTGCTTGTCTGAGATAACATCCAGTGAACATATGATGGGGACCCTGCTGATGACATGCCAATTACCAACACCTAGCATCTGTGGAGAGAATGGACCAAGGCCCAAACTGAAGGTGATAATGGAGATAGACATATCCTCTAAAAAGGCAGACCCAAGGAGTGGCCATGCAAAACAGCTCTTAGAAAAGTTTGACTATGCATAATTGCTTATGAATATGCAACAGGCTGATGCAATAGAAATGGTATATAAAGGGTGTTTCCAAAACAGCAAGTGTGCTCTTGGCAGAATGCCAAGTACCCGGTGGCTAAACTCTGTCTTATTATTTTTGTCTCCTATTGTCCTTTATTAAACTTTTAAATTTTACCAGGAGAGTGAGCCTTGTATTTCACAATTCCCAAATAGAAAAGGGCACTGGGATGGAAGGGATTTTGTCCCTGTCTCACATATCCTGTAACCATGTCAGCAACTGAGACTGTGTTGGTGTCCTGATAAGCATTGCTTTGGACTGAATTGCTTCCTGGTGAAGGTAGGTGCCAATTAAAGTATGGAACCACTATTTTTCTCAGGTTAAGCCACTAAACATTAGATACAGTGTTTGACAATTTCATAGCTAGAACATGCAGAACGACTGAATAGTCTTCTGAAAAAATGAATAGCTGTACACTTTTGTGGCAAAGAGGAGTGAGCTGTGCTAGACATTTTGGAAGAGTAAATTATCAGTAAGTATTTGTGAAAAATGAGGTTCACTCTCCTGGTGTAATTTAAAAGTTTAATAAAGACAATAAGAGACACAGATAATAAAGCAAAGATTAACACCTGGATGCTTGGTGCTCTGACAAGAGCACTCCTGGTGTTTTGGGAACACCCTTTATATTCCATTTCTGTTGCGTCACCTTGATGCATGTTTGATGCAGCACTGCACTGGAGCTCTGGCTAGCTCTACACTGGTCTTTTGCACTCTGGCACAGGCAGGCACCAAGAATGGGGAATCACTGGGGAGCAGGCTTTTCCCTCAGCGAAACCTCCAGAGTCTTGGGCCACGCCAAGCTCTGTGGTGCACGGCATCAGAGGTGGAGGCAAGAAAGTAGAGGAGTCTCTCTCAGATTGAAGTTCCCAGCAATGGTTTTATTAGGTCAGGTAAAACAAGGGATCCATACCTGAAGGAGTCAGGTCTGAGAAAGCCTCCCGCACTGCTGTGCAAGAAGTTAAGTACTGCCCAAGCTCCAAGGGAGGGTACAAACCATGCACCAATCTTGAGGGGAGGAGTAAGGGGAGGGGATCTCAAATTCAGGGCCAATAGGGATATACAGAGGGAGGGAACAAGATACATTAACCAGTGGAGCCTTGAGGGAAAAATGATTGACACAGAAGAGTCTGAAAGAAGGGGTGGGGTTTACAATGATGGATAGGGAATAGGGGCAGGGATAAGGTGACTGGCAGGGAACATTCAGGAAAAATAGGAGGGGTTTACATAACTGACAAGTGGGGCCAAACCAATACAATCAATAGGGGGAAACAAGAACATACCAACAAGCTTTAACGAACCTTAAACAAAAATAAACTACAACACATATTCATAGACTTTATGCATATTCAAACTTTTCCATTAACTAGTTTACACCTTCCAGGAACTATTTAGCATGGTCACTCCTTGGATCTGCCTTTTTAGAGCATGTGCATTTCTTGGCTTGCAGTTTTAATCCTCTTCTTGGTATCTTTTAATTTGGGCTTTGGCTCCTTCTTTCCACAGGAGGTGAGTGTTGATAGTAGCCAGGTCCCCATCATCTGTTCACTGGAGTTCATCCTAACTGGCAGGCGGTTCAAGCATGCTGTATCAACTATTTCCACTTATGCCTAATTTTTTTGCTAATAGCAGGAGAAGAAAAAAATACATTCACACAGCAAAGCCATTTTAACATTATACATATAACATTAATCTCAATAGTTGTGAAAAGCCAATATTATAATATGTATTTATAACATATTTAATATACAAGGATGCCATTCATGTCGTTGGCTTGGATAATAATAAAAGTAAAAAAAAAAGGTCTCTTTAAAAGTAATCAAGTCAGTTGCACAACTACTACAGTTGCAAACTACTGAACAGTGGGAATTGCATCTTTCCCTCTGGTTTTAAGAGAACTTCTTCATGAAGCACAGTTTGAGGTAGGCAATGGTAAGGAAGATTAGTGTCATGCAGGCCAGAGCCAGGTGGTTCTGCCACAGGCCCCAGGGGCTCGCATCGATACCTTGACTCTTCAGATACTCCTCTCCAGTGCATTCCCTACAGATAAATACACACACATCAATAAACTTAGTCATTTTATAAACCAGTCAGCAGGATCTAGAAAGATGTCTAGAAGTTGCAGTGGTAGAAGATGTCTAGTGGTTGCATGTGTGTAGCAGGCCGGGAAAACACCACCTAAATGTCAGTGGTTAATTTTCCATTTGTAAACTTGCTTTTCTTGAGGCTCCAGTTTCACATAGGAAGCTGAAATGGATTTTGTGAGGCTGTACAATTGTGTGTGTGTGCATAGCTCTCACTAAATACAATTTAAAGCAAAGTAAGAAGCATAATTACAGATATTTCTAGGGTTATAAATACTAAATATGACAACAAGCAGAATGTTCCTTGCAGTCAGAATGCAAAAAGCCAGTCAAAGGTTCCTTTTCCATATAAAAACTCACAGATTCTCTGGTCATCAGTGAGTATCTCTGATACTCAGACTGATGTTCTAGGACTTCTAAAGTTACTAATGGTGGGATTCATTTCAATGTACCAAAATACTTACATCGGGCCTGTCTTTTGATATCTACTGTCACTGCTTGAAACTGTGCTGTTACCGCTGCCACAAAAGTTCAGACCAGTCAACTCATTGATCTGTAAAGCCTTTTAAAATAAAAGAAATAATGACAACAAAAATTAGTAGTTAAAGGAGTGATACATTAACGAGATGAGATATAATCCAATTAAAATTCGTTCTAAAAATGTTCTGGTATCACTATTATATTTGCCAAATCCCCATTTTTTAGCAGAGTAGCAGAGTTCTTTTTTTCTTTTAAGAGAGGAATGTATGCAGCCTGTACTCACCTGGTAAAGCATGTACCACAACAGGCTTTACCACCCCCCCAGCCAGACTATTTCTGCACAGGCATAGTAAAGCCCAGATTCCTCTGCAAAACATCACTCTAGCTTAAATTTTCACAGATTAGGAGAATAGCTTTAGCTTGACAAGTTTTTGTTTGATTGATGGAAAAGACAAACAGAAGATTTTTACTTTTTTTGGGTGGGGATAACATTGTTTTTTACTTTGAAACATTTCTGTCCAGCTGAAGTCCAGTGGATGTAGTAGCTGTGCCTCTCATATGAGATGTTTCCAAATTACAGAAATGAGCTCTTCTAAACTGCAGTGGATACTGGCTGATACGAAGCCCTTCTTGTTTCAAGATACTGTACAACAATCTGGGGCTGTTGTACTTAATTAGCTTTCCTTTTGCACATTAGGCCATCAAGTTCGAAGATTTCTTTATCATGATTAAACACATTCCTTTCTAGCAAGCCATTTTCAGGTTTGTACACAGGAAATCAGAGCACTTACTGTCATTCCATAGCGAGGGATGCTAAAGTATTTGAGCCAGGAGAGCCAGGACATGATGCTTGTGAGATTGACCAGCAACCCAGAGAAAATCTAGAGGCAATAATTGCCAAAAAAAAAAAAGCCACAATAACATGAAAAATAAGCTACAAATTACATGCTTTTATCATGTGTTCTTCTCTAGCTCTAGCTCTTTGCTTCTTCAGATAGAAAGGAATGGGAAAACATTCCTTGAGGAAGAAACTCTTCCAGCAGAAGAACAAAAGGGAAGGATTTATATGTTACCGAGCTTTGGGCCATAACCTCAGGTCCTTCCCCTGAAACAAGTAACAAAGAATGCTTTCCCCTGTGCAGTACACCCACATGATTCCTGTCTGGGGTCCCACATGGGTTTGTATGAACTCTCTGCTGCTCCTCAGTGTGGGACTGCTCTGGGTGTTGCCTGTGTGCCCTGTGTCTGAGGTAATGTGGATTTTGGCTGTAGGTTCAGCTCTGCCTCATCTGAGGTGCCTGTCTCCTGACTGTAGCTGTATGTTGTCCAATTTAACATGCCCAAGGTGGGCTCTGCAACTGAAGAGGACAGCTGAGCTAGTGATCTCAGAAAGCAGGCGGCTGCAGGTCATGTTCTCAGCCAGACACATTTGCCTTTAACAAAGTTAGGGGAGAGAGAATGAAATGTAGCCCTAAGTGGCTTTCCTACTTTCCAGGCAGTTTTCTGTCTGCCAGAGCCACAGAGAGAAAGTCAGAGGAACCACTCTCCTCCTCGCATCCAACCCTCCAGTCCCCCACTTCTTGTTCATTCAGAAGATAAATCAGAATATTCCACCCCACAGCATCTAGATACTCAAATCAGATAAATCAGGATATGTTGGCTGCAACAGACTTTTTGCAGAATTCAGCTGAACTCCATGCTAGTAGGGTTTCTGGATTTCAGCATTTCTGGGATTTCATGATCCAGTCTAGAGAACTGAACAGTGCTACTCACAATCATAAAAACAAATGCAACAGTCATGAGTAGGTTTGCTATAGCGACCACGCTCTGTCCTGCTGCAATGGCAAGTGCCATGGAAGTGGCTGTGTAGGACACCATCATGAGGGTGAACATCATTGTGAAGAAGGCTTCTACTGTTGGTTTCAAACCTTAAAGATCAGAAGAAGAGGGGATTCAGAATAATCCTGCTGAAAGCTCTGCTATAACCTGAACACTATCCTGACTTTCCTAGTGTGTCCTGCTTACAAATTACACCTTGTCTGCCAGCACAGGCTGTGTCACTGAGACCCAAGACTGCTGTGGTGCCCATGACAGCCCTTATGTGTCTGTTCTAACAGTGGAAGACAGGATGAATAAGTAGGATACTCAACACTGCAGTAAGACTGAAATAGTAGAATGTGTAGAAGTACAGTACTTCACACATCCGAAGTGCCTGCAAGTTGTCCATCAGAGGAGAAACTTCCAGTGCACTTCCATGAGCAGCAGCTATACAGCATTTCACTAGTTTCCAGCAGAGAGCTCCCCTAAAGAAACTAGTAGCCTTGAGATGGCTATGGATTCAGTGGTAAGGTCTGTCTCATTCCGTTTCCACAGTTTGAGAGCCTCTTTCTGATGTGGCCTGTTTCCTACTCCTTAGGGAAAAAACTCAGGCCAAAGCCAACAAGCTGGTATTAATTCACACAGTATTAATATCTTAAAACAAAACCTTTTCTTTTAGGAGTTCTTGCAAGGATCAGAAAAGTATCTTGTTAAAGTCATCAGAAGCCAAGAAGGCCATAGATGAAAAGGAAGAAATCAAAACCATGTAGTAATGATTGTGGTTTCCTTCTAGGGGCAGTAGAGATGAGATGTGTCACAGATTCTCTGATGAACGCTTAAATCTTTGTGTCTTTTCTGTAGAAAACAACATGGTGTCCTAAAAGTAAGCTCAGTGGCCACTGCCACACCAGTGTAGGGCTTTAGCCTATATAAATACCCATGTATGCATACACATATGTAAGGTGCATGAGCCATGATGATTTATTAGAGGCTTGGAATGAGACGGTAGGAGACCATACTTGCCTAGCATGAAGTAAACTATGCAGGTGAAGATGATGCTGGGCATAGTCCTTATGGGTATTAAATCAGCCATCAGCTTTGCTATGAAGTACGCAGATGTTCTGTAGTACCCACTGATATATTCATGTCTGGAACACAGAGATAGGTACAGCACGTCACAGATTTAACCACTAAAACACAGTTCAATTTTCACCTCTTGACAAATGCATTCTAGCTCAAACTGGAAGAAACTCTTTCATACTTAGGCTATAATGCAACTTTCCAGTAAGCCTACACACTATAGAAGTGGTGACATTTTCATATGCAAATGAACGTGGGTATTTGTACACATAATTTTTAGTAAATTTATGTGCCATGTCATCGAGACAGAGAGGGTAAAGTCTGAATAATTTTTGTATTTTTTACAGAATAATGTGCATTGCTTTAAAGAATCCAGTCAGATGATATTTATTACCCTCACTAGCAAGTCACAAACTTATTTATCAATGCCAAAACTGAGTATTCAAGGTTTTTTTCCTACTGTGTCAAACTTAAACTCTGAGTCATTTGTAATCATAAGTATCTTTTGGGGGGTTTGCTGACAACTCACTAGCAGACTAACAGAGTACATTTGCAATGAGCACTATCAGTGAAATAATTTGAAAATTTTGCACCAGCTGTACTTAAATGATATTTACAGCATGACAGACAAACTCACAGTCTAACAGCAGAGCCTGGTAATCTTTCTGTATGTTTTACTTACATAAATATCTTCTTTTCCACAACAAAGAGTTCAACAGCTGAGACGCTGCTGAAACACTGGTTGGTGGTCAGAAAGAACATTGCACCCACTCTGCAAAATAGCAACACAGTGAGCTGTTATTTAAAATGGAATGTAAATGTAGTGTTTCCACAACAGAGTATACAAATCCACCTGCAGTGCATGAAGTTTTGCATCTCCCAAAATCCATGGTAAAAGTCTTGGCTACAAGTCTGAGTCTGTAACAAGCCTGACATAGATGTGGTACAGTCATTATTTGGTTTTGGCAGGTAATGATGATAGTACATTCTCTGATGCAGGTAAAAAATAGAAAATCAACTGAATTTTTTTTTTGAGGGGCTGTGGTTTGGTTTTTTCCTCAATGTCATTTCCTAACACGTTAAATATTCTCAGATTGTGAAGGCATTTGTCTGCTGCAAACTGTGAGGAACCAATGCAACGGTGTGAGAAGTAGTTTTCACATTTTCAACAGAAATTTAAGGCACTTCCCACTCAATTTAAAACTGTGTGGTTTTTAAACAAACAGAAGTGTTTCAGGATTAAGAACCCAGAGGTTTCATAGTGGCAAACTCATGTGTCAGGTCAGGTACATACAGATGTCAAAATGATACATAGAGCAGCATAATTTGAAAATCTCTTACTGCTGGTAAATTGAATTGTGCGAATAGAACCTGTTGCAAGATTACAACTTTAGTTACCTACGTTTATATAGCCACAAGTCTGTGTGTTTTAACCCTCTCAGTTCTGCAGGGACCTTGCTAGAGGAGCAAAATCACATGCTCACTTCCAAGTCACATGGGCTTGGCCTTACTGATGTGAGGGGAAGCATTTCCTTTAAAGAGGTTGTAAGCTCCTTTTTATAAAATTTTTGAATATCCATTGCCTAGACTGACTGACCTGTTCTGTAGTCCAGCAGAGTTCTCCTCAAGTCCAAAGAAAATGGCACCTACAATCAGCCCCAGGAATGCTGTAATAAAAAGCTAAACAGGAAAAAGAGAAGAGGGAAGTATCATTCTCATTGCTTCAAAGGTTTTCCTGACTGCCAGGATGAGGATGACTCTTTATTTTCATGCTCCACGGTGTGTAATTACTGGGTTCTATCATACATCTTACTCATGGGGTTGTTTTTAATGAGATGCTACAACAGGGCTATAGATACACTGATATTTGCAGTCAGTAACTATTTAAATAGCAGAGATAACATCTTCCTCAAGGCTGTCACTTAAAAGACTGAAGTGTGTGCATTACACTTTTTAAATGCTAAATGCTCAAAATGACAAAAAGCTCAGGAAAACTGATGGTATCAGGCAGTTCTGTCATTTTTAAGCCCAAGCAATGCATGAGTCTTAACACCCTAAACTACTTGATCCTGGTACACTCTTACTAAGATCTGCTGAAAGGAGCAAATGTCAGGGATAATTCAGCTCCTAAACCAGTTGTGGTGGAAGGCAGGGATCATTTCAAGACCATTTTGGAGCAGAATGCTAGACAAATCCACCCCTAATGAGGGTGGGAGATGAAAAAGATTGTGAGAAACAAGTCAGGACCATTAACCTTGGGCTATGAAGGAGGTTCTTGAGAGCCTAATTCTTGTCACAAGGTCAGGCTTTTACAAAGCAATTATTAAGGATCTCCATAGTATCAACATACAGGCACACACACCTACTCAAAGCCCTTTGAACCTCAGGGATTCTGGACTTGTTTTACCTCCACACAAACCATTTATTCATTCACTATATAAAACATGATGAAGATAATTTATACCCCTGGCTTCAGGCCAGTTTCTCTATTGTTCTCTCCAGAACTGCCGAGAGTTGCAGTGGTAGTTTTAGTGGTTCTGTGGCTGCAGAGTTTGGGCCATGAATTAGGAGATTCCCGAGGATTAGTCACTCTGCAGAGGCCAGCCAGACATTCTTCATTTTTGAAAGCATTGTGCAGCTCTGAAGGAGTCAACACTTTTGGTGCTGATCCTTCAGAAAAAGCAACACAAACAGAGCCAGTGATGATCTTTCATGGTGGATGTCAGACCCCATTGTGGACTTCATGACATCTTATCCACAAGACATTATCACCAATATGAACAGTCAAACGACCAAACAGCACACACATTATGAGACTGCAACTTGAGCCAACTGCCAGCACTTCATTTTCTGCTGTTTAATTAAGTATGCAAATGCAGTTTGTTAACTTTTCCTGGTGGGGGAGGGGACTTGAGGCCAAACCCCGCAGTGCCAAGTCTGGACAATGAGTCAAATCTGAAGAATGTTCTTGAGCAAATCTGTGAAACTATTTGGGACATAATGTGCTCCAGGCTGGGAGCAGCTGAATGCCCTGTTGGGACATGTCTTGCCTCCCAAAGTCATTAGTCCAAAATTAATTACTGCACAGTCCCACATTTGGGAGCATTCAGGACACCTCCTATCCCCAGACTCCTAGACCTCAAGCACTTTTTCATCAGATGCTTACTGCAGTAAAGTAAAATAAAAAATAAAAGTAAAAAGTAAAATATCAAGAGGCAAAACCATCCCAGTGACTTAGCCAATAATCCAGGAGCCAAATAAATTCAACATATACCACAAAATTATAGATACCAATAGCCTTACCTGAGCTATGGAAGCCTGAGGGTTTCCTATCAGGTTTTTAAATGTGCGCCTTGACACCCATTTCAGCTGGTGGAGGAAGGAATTGGCATATGTGATTTGCCGGAAAACTCCTTTGGCTTTCTTTTTACTTCCTGAAGAAATGCTCTCTAAATGTGCTTTTGTTTCTAGGTAGTAGGTAGAGTTGGAGTATTTTTCTGCTAATTGCTCAGCCAAGTTTTTATCATATTCAGAGGGTTCTTCAGTGCTCTCTGCTGGAAAGATTAAAAAACCAGAAGAACTAAGATGCACACATAGTTCCAGGGGTTTACTGCACTCAGTCCCATAGCAGATAGTTCAAAAGAGTCGGTATAAATAAGACCAAACCTCTGTGATTGTCTATGCAACCTGTCCCACAGGCAGCAGCCTCTCAGCTCGCTGACCAGGCAAACCCAAGTCTGCCCAGGGAGTTGCAACCTAGCAGCAACATGGCTTTTAATTAAATTGTGATTTTTGCATTCCCTTTGCCCCCAAAGGTTTCTGTAAGTGTCTGATGACATAATCCTGGACTTCCCAGAATTTTAGATCCAGGTAATCCTGCATGTGTCTACTTTGGTCATAAATAAATTTCAGCTGATCCTCCTTTTTTTCTCAACTATAGTACAGTGTGAGCTTTTCTAGTGACAGATAAGATGTGTGTTGCCAGCTATAATATTTGCCAGACCCTGATCAGAGCATTTTTGTAAAATGATGGCTGCTCCTTTGGTAAAGGTATATTGAAACTGTGTTTGGGCACTCAGCATATTCATTACTTCATTTGCCTTTTCACTCCTGTGAAAAGAGAGTGAGCTATTAATGAGTGGCAGCAGAAAAGTATGAGAAAGCATGTTCCAACAAATAGGAGAGAGCTGATTCATTAGTTTGGGGAAAATTTCTGTCTTAGCACAACTTCAGGGAAACATCAGGTGAGCAGTGATACCCTATCTCTACCCCTTCTCACCCTGCTCAGAGGAAAGAAAACAGTAATTTCCTAGCAGAAAAAACTGTTCCATTAGGTAAAATAGTCAAGTCACAACTGCATCAAATTATGTCCTTAACAAGAACAATTGTCCTGGTTTATCATCTCTGCTTCTGCAAGATTTCAGATGCTTTGCCTTGAAGATGAAAGAAGCTCTTTCTGTGTGCTGAGAGTTACCAAAACAGTTTCTTAAATTCCCATTCCCACACATGCAGGGTAACTTGACTCAGCTCTGAGTTTCATACCTGTGTTGCTTTCATCAGCCTTGTTCATTGCTACGGCGGTGCAGTCTCCATTGATGATGTCCAGGAAAAAGTCGGCAGGGTTGTTGTAGGGCTCGCACTGGTAGCCTGTCGTGACAATGACACTGTGGTGACAGCATTATGAGCCCTGGGTGGGGTCATGTGACTGGCTGTCAGGAGCACAGCCACACATCCTGCCCATGGAGCAGCCTGTACCAAAGGCATGGCAGCCTTTGGAAAGTCTGTGCTTTCCCAAGGGATGAGTGGCACTGCTGGGCAGCACTGTCAGCAAAAGTGAGGTGACAGCTGGCAGCGTGCCCTTCCCAGCCCTAGCCCGACTTTCTCTAATTAAGATGCACCCAGGGACAGTTCTCCCAAATCCACATGTGGGTCAAGGAGAGAAATACCCAGAGAAAGGCTCAGCCTGCTGCAATGCTGAGCCTCCTTGGACACACCGTGTCCAGTTCTGGCCCAGAGCTATTGGCATTTCACTCGAGTTAGTGCAAACCAAAGGCTGGCCCTGCTGGAAGTTGTGCTCACCAATGGACTGAAAGTACTCGATGGCATGCTGGGCTGGCCCATGGTACAGCACTCTCCCCGCAGCCAGAAGTGTCAGGTTGTCAAACAGTCGGAATATGGAGTACCGAGGCTGGTGGATGGAGAAGATGATTGTCTTTCCTTGTTTTGACATCCTGAATGTGAAGAATGACAGAGATGTCAGCTTTGCAAGTTGATTAAGTGTTTAGATAAGAGCATTTGGAAGTTCAGTTGTCTTGAAGTCTGATCTACTTGGTATGCCAGAGAAGGGAGAAGAAAGATAAAAATAAAGAAGAAGAAAATATTTAGGTAATATTTACAGTGTCTGTGTGAGAAAAGAACTCTCACTTTGGAAAGAGAGAATTCATACAGTTTTTTTCCTATCCTATGCGAATCCTTGGCTCACTGGTAAATAACTACATATCTGAATTCCCTGTTTGCTCATTTGAATTGTAATTCAAGTCAAAGTCATCTGAAACATAGCAGAGTGGAATGCTGAGAATGGGAAGCTGTTTCCAAGGCCATCACCTTTTCAATAGTAGTAGGACAGCATTAGCAGTGCTGGCATCAAGTCCTGTGGTTGGCTCATCCAAAAACAAGATGGCAGGATCCGTGATGAGCTCCATCCCAATATTGGTCCTTTTCCGCTCTCCTCCAGACACCCCACGAGAGAACTGGGTACCAACCTGAAAAAAAACATGAAACTTGTCTTGTTTGGCTCAAAGATAAATCCTTGAGTGAATGGCATCTACCCACATGACAGTATTTGGGGAGAGTTGTAAGGAATTCTGACTCTACTGTCAGAAACAGATGTAAATGTTATCTCACACACAGCCTTATTCTTAATGTTAACATTACTTGAGGTATTGTCTTTTTCTCCAACCACTAGTTTTCCTTTTCATCTTTCCCTTTCTTCTTCCTCTTCCCTGCAATGTAATACCATACGACAGCATCAGCACAGTCAGACAGAAATGCCACTAATTATTATATTACTGAAACAACAATACAATAAATGTAACACAATAAACACAATAAAATGAAATTTACTCTTTTTTTAATCTGCCATAACGAGCCATTTGGTTAATTAATAAACCACTTATTATGGTTAGTATGGTTTAAATACCATGTTTACAGGATTTACCTTGGAATCTGCCACTTTGCTCAAACCCAGTTCCTTGATGATCTGATTGACTCGCTCATTTTTTTCCTCTTCCTTCACTGACTTTGGCAAGCGAAGTGCTGCTGAGAACTTCAGATTCTCTCTTACAGTCAGGGTTCCCATCACCACATCATCCTTCATTGAAAAAAAACAGTAGATACTTGGTGGTTGCTCAGCAGTTTTTATTTATTCCTCTGAGAACTGTATCTACCTATGTTTTATGCTGTCCTTGCATGCAGAGTGACAGTGGCAGCAGTCAGACCATGCAGTAAGGTGCATCTTCAATGCCTTGAAGTGTCATAGCATAGTGTGGATTTCATGCACATAATTATATTTGCCTAAATTCGTAAGGCAATGCCATATAGGAACAGCCTCCATCATGCATGATATCAAAATGCATAAACAGCAAAGTATTAAAAACCATCCCTTATGTATCCTTACCTTATTCAGTTTTTTGGAGGTGTTGAGGGGGAGATGGAAGGGCTGAAGGGACCTAAGGAGCAGCTACAGTTCAGGTCATTATCACAGTGTGCTTGCCAGTGCAGCCTCAGCCCACCACATGTGAGAGCAGAAAGAAAGGGAAGGTGAAGAGAGGTTGGGTCCATGTGGGTTAGGGTGAAGGTGTTCCCATCTTGTTTTGTCAGAGGAAGGAGGGGAGGTTTTTAGATACCATCTGCTTGTCTCTTGCAAAGGGACTCTGTCAGTCATGGGAAGTTGAGATTTAAAGGTGTTTTGAGAGACCATCTTTCTGTGACATGCTGACTCTAATTTTAAGGAGTTTTCCTAGATTCTTGAATCAAGGCAAGGCATTTGCAACACAGCAGCAACTTCTTACAATAAAATCCACAGTGACAAAAATGACTTACCTGTACTACGTACCCAGAGGTACATTTAAAGTTGGCAGGCTGAGGAGCTCCATTGATCAAAATGTCACCAGAGAGTCCATGGGGATCCTTCCTTGCAGCCAAAATGTCCAGTAGCCTAAAGGAAAAGTTGGTTACTTTTTCAAATGAACATGCAGGAGGCAAAGCTCTCTGAACCACAACCCAGCTCATGGAATGAACCGCTACATAAAAGTAGATCACATTATATGTTTGCAATCTAGAAAACCCCCAGCAACTTGCAAGGACTGAGTTGTCCTGGTTTCCTAAGGAAATGAGATCTGTGCAGGTCCATGTCCATTTTTCCAATAATTTAAGTTTAACCTCAAATTGGTTACACATTACCAGAATGGTGTGTAAGGAGCCACTATCAGCAAAGTGTGGACTGAAACTGGATTACACTTTTCTCATATAATCTGATTGTCTTTTTGAATTCAAGTATTTCTCAGAAAACAGTGAGGCTCTCACAGACCTAAATAAAAACTCAATCTTTCTCTGAAAGAGAAGTCCATTACTGCTAAATGTGTACAGTTTCATTTTCCCCTTGGTCTAATTTCTGTGGAGGGAGACGGGGGCACTTACGAAGATTTACCACTACCAGTGGGTCCCAAAATTGCATTCAGTCCTGGTCTCATGATGCCACTGTAAGACAAAACAGATCAGTTTTACAAAATAGTTAGGGTGCAGTTATTTCTTTGCCTGTTTCAGCTGGTAGGCCAGAGTAACTTATCCGTACAACTACTTTCTGTATCTGATTAATTTTGGAATTAATGAAACTGCCTATTCACAAGCAATATTTCTGATCAGACTTTACCCTACCTTTTATTTCTATTTCAAGAAAAACTAATCATCATATAATGAAGACAGAACAGAAACACAACTAAAATGTAGCAAAGTCTGCACATGTTTCTTACCACATGGATCAAAGACAAGAGACGCACACACTTGCTTTAACCATACTCAGTTCTGAAGGTATTATTCTCTCAACTGAGAGAATAATGGTCACTTGTAGACAGAATAAACTAGGGATTTATCTTTCCTTAAAATGCAGCTGATATTTCTCTGTATCTGACATTAAAGCCCCATGAAACTCAAAAGCCAGATGGAAAATGTTACAAATTGTTGGTGGCTGGTTCACGGGATCAGTCCAATGCCCAGCACCACCACTGTCTATCCTGGATAGGGGTCCCGTGAGGAACGGCTGTGCAGGGATCTCAGGCAGTTTCCAACCAGGGGTAACCCTTATGAGCACATTCTGAGACTTGAAGTGATCAGCTCTTTCAGCTGTGATTTCAGCTCTGTGATCAGATCATCCCGACTCCACTCATGGGTTACCCCAGCTGACACGTAGACAAGAGACGGGAAGCCATGTAGCATTCCACAGAGTCCTTTATTGGCAGGCTTCAGCAAAGGGGGCCAGTGACAAACTTCCACTGAACTGGGCAAAAGCTGGGGCTTTTATAGGGAAGGGGAGAACTGGGAGAAGGACCAATGGTTTAAGACCAGGGTAAAAGGACCAATAGTTTACAGGGAGATAACATGGGGTCCTGAAGCAGGACGGGGTCCACAGCTCAGTCACCATGACTAAGTTTTATCTTATCTTAGAGGACAGATCTCCAAGGAGGAAGTCTTTTGTAGGACTGGCCTTCCTCCACAACAAATGACCCATGTGAGTCAACTGAGGTACCACAACACTTGGCTTTTGAGGAAAGCAACAAGGCATTTAAGAGCTCATGTTTAGCAGGTGTGGAAATTCCCTGGGCAAAGAGTAGGATAGATTGAGCTATACAAAAGGGTGAATATTTATGATAGAAATTGGAGTTAGGGAGCTGAAAGTCATGGGTGACTTGGAATGACATATTGTATGAGCCTTTGCCACTGAGTTTAACTACTGAACTGTGAATGGGCAAGTTTTATCCACTGATTATTGAACAAAGGCCATGATGACATGGCTGCTTTACTGCAGTAATGCTCACTGTTGGGGAAAAAACCACCAAACAACTCAACAAAAAAAAATGCCAAAACTCCAGAAACCTTTACATCTCTTCAAAGTTAACCTAACCTGCACTTATATTAATGTGTTAAACATTTTAAGTTACATCCCCTGAAAAATTAACCTTTCCCAAGGCCACCTGAGGGAAGGAGACAATCACAGAGGACAGGCTGTTGGTATCTCAGCTAAGCACCCTGGCACAGTGGGAGGTTTGCCAGGGAGTGTAGAGCAAGCAGAGCTGGCTGGTGTGCCCCGTGCTGATAGCAGCCAGGAGTGCTGTACTCCCAGGGCCAAGGGAAGTGAACTCTCTGATGTACAGGCCCAGCCCAGGGACTGAGGACCTGGGTTTAAGCACAGCTGCAAACATGAAGCAACCACACATACAAATAATTTTTCTAAACCTTGATCTGCATATTGTGCTGAATGGCTCAGTGACATGAGTGAAGTCAACTCTCTGGACAGAAATAAAACTTACACATACTCTAAAGAGATGTTTAAATACGTACTTGACATCTCTCAAAACTTGTTTTTTGGTGGTTTTTTGGAAACAGAGGAACCCAGTCTTTGTCTTCACATAGTAGCAGATGTTGTGGAAGGTGAGCACACTTCCTGACCTGCCAGTCAAATCTGGCAAGGACTGCCTTCTACTGGGAATGCCATTTGTACCAGATTCTGACATCTGAATGCATAGGTGTGGCTGGTCTTCTGCCATCGTTCCTCTGGAAATTAAACACAGGAAAGGGAAGATTTGATTAGGTATGAAGAGGAAAGGTGTATCTTTTGGGTCCAGTGCTTGGCACAGGGCCCATGGTGGGCCTGGAAGAGGCCCATCTAGGAGTCCCTCTTTTGGATAGGAAGTTGGGTCCTGTGGGCTCAGACCTGGAGATAACACAAAGCTGATGAGGAGCTGGGTCTACCAGAGGTAGGGAGATAAAAGATTTTCCCTCCAGCCTGATGTTCTGCTGGGGTGGGCTGGCCTTGGGGGGCCACAACTGCCCATCCAGCCACTCTCTGAGGTGACTATCTACTCTGCCACCTGGACTTCCTTCTCTGGGATCTGTTTCTTCCACATTTTCTCACTCCTCTCTTATAGCTACTGAACAACATCTTTTGCCCTTTCTTACACATGTTTCCAGAGAGGCTCTACCAGCATCACTGACACACTCAACTTTGCCTCAGCAGCTGGAAGTGGCTGTGTCCACCACAGCACAACCCCAGGGGATCTTTCCCACAGAATCCTCCACCTCCAGCTACCCCTCAGCAGCAGCACCTGGCCACAGGCAGCAACTGTTCTATTAATCTAAATAATTTTGCCAAGGATATAGCAACATGGAAACTGACACTGCTGCTGCCAAGTAATTATCTTCCTTGGCTTTGATTTCCATGTGAAAATTAGAAGGTATTTGTATAATAATTAAAGTTATGTCACCTCCCTCATCAACCAGGCTTCTGCCTGTGAGCCATCCACCTGCACAGTGGAGCATCCCTGGCTGTCCCCATGCATGCAGACCTGTCCCCTTTGTGCTTCCTTAAGGGTCATCTGGGTGAGAGATAGGGCCTGGCCTCTCTATATAACATGTTGACTCATCAGAGTATAATTATTTTAATTGTCACTATGGGAAATGTTAGCAATGCAATAGTTCATGGAAATCAAGAGGGTAGATGATCAGCTGGAAGCTCTGGGGTGACCAGTCCCCTCCCTCAGCATAGTTACACTGCTTACAGCAAGAAAGGAGGCAAATTATCACACAGTTTCAGACATGCTGAATGAATTTGAGAGCCATTAGTAAAAAGGAGCCTTGGGGGAAAAAAAAACAAAACAAACAAACCACAAAAACCCCGCGTTTAATCTAACAGGCTCATATGGTCACATAAAAACCCAAATCTAAGCCCTTATCTTCTCAGTTTGCTAAGGGTGCTTTACAGACAGCTGAGCTCTCCTTTGTGGCTATCAGCACAGTGAAACCTCTGGAAGCATTAAGTTCAGCAACCAGCCTATCTGCACATAAAGGCTGGTTCATCTGTCTCCCAGTGATGCTATCCCAAGTCTAGCCCAAGATTTCCTCCTCTGAGAAAGCCGTAGTCTTCTGTGCTGACAAAAATATAAGGTCTTAATGTTTTAGTAATCAGTAATGGTAACTCAGTGCAAAGAAACAGTGTTTGAAATGTAATTACAATGGGTCTAGCTTTAATTTTAGCTAAAATGTATTTTGAATAAGTTGAACATCAATCAAATGTGCAACATTTAAAATATAGAGGCCTTTTACTGATAAACTGCATACACTCTCACTTGTGATTTACCTACCTGGAGAAGGACAGGTAATTTAATAAGGATATTTTTCCTGCAGTTTCTGGGTTAATCTATCTGGACATCAATCAGTGCCCTTTGAAAGGATGCTTTGATAAATTAGAGATGTGTGTTCAGAACTGCAGTGGGAACTTGACAAAGTCTCACCAAGTGCTGAGCAGATGTTTGCTGAGCTAGGCACCAAATGCTTAACCATAGGGGCAACACCATGGGTAGGCATTAGAAAATCCCTTTAGCTGTTAGATAACCAAGCAGCACAGAGCGCAGAAGTCAGGAGAACAGTGTGACTCTGACCTTGATATATCACTACATATATAAGGTATTTGGATCAGTATATTGTTTGATCTTATTGTTTTCTCAGCTTAATTTCAGTATTACTCATGCAACACTATGAGCAAATGAGGAAAAAAATGAGGTAGAGTTTGACCTCAGTCATACTCAACAGAATGGCTACATTTTTCTTTGTTTAATTTGATTTTGTTTGGTTTCTGGTCTTTTTTTTCCAAAGACTAGCATAAAAACCTAGCTCAACACTTGCACTGAAATTTCTGAAATGCTCTTCAGGAAAAAAAAAAACTTTCTTTTGGGAATTAAAGAAATTAATTCTTCCAGACTGAACTAGACAGGTAGACAGTAAGCAGAGAATCAGAAACTGTTTTCAGAAGTAAAGGATCACACTGTTTTTACAGTGTTGTTCCTAAGAACAGACAGTATGTCATAGTCAAATTTAATCTATCGATCAAGTTATGATGAGATTGTACACTTCCTTGCAAAAATGTGTGTAGAAGCTATATAATTAAGTCAGGTATAGGAAGAATTACATATATCCATAGCAAACAGTCTCTCAATGGCTATTTAATATAGCTGTCAGCAGGAAACTTCCAAGTTCAGGAAGGCTTGATGACCCAAATGGCCAAGCAAAAACAATGTTCTTTGCTATTGTCCCTTGGGAAAACCTTAACTATTAGTGGCTGTGATCAGAGGCTGGATTCAGGTCTCACTGCACCTCTGGTTTAAGTTATCACAGTTCTTCCTGGCTGCAGGGTGCTTGTGCCACTTGCAGGGACAGGTGGAATGCCTCGTACCTGTTTTCTGCTCCTTCCTCCAGAAAAAAAAAATTTATTGGTGGGGACATGCCATTTATCAATGTAAAAAAAATACCCATTTTAAATGTTGCCTTAATAGTGAAAATAACATTTCATACTTTCAGAGCTACTAGAATTTATTGCAGAAAGAAATTGCAGAATGCTTATTCACTTAAAACTGGAGTGGTTATTTCTGCTGTGTGGAATCTGTGTTGGCTGCTCCCTTCTCAAAGGTGCATGCAAGGTCTTTACCACAGCAGCTCCTTGAGCTGGCAGAATGACAGGGCTCTGGACATGCTGGTGGGAATAGGCCTGGGGAAGTCCCAAAACACAGCTTCTCATTCTGAGCAGGGCTGGCACCAACACAGGATCAGGTCAGCCGTGGCTTTGCCTGGGTGGTCCGTGGAAGCCTCCGAGAGGGGCCACTTGGATCTCAGCTAACAGTATGCTGGGAGAAGATGAAGTGCTAGCAGTAGAAATGATTCACACGTGCTAAAATTAGGCATTTAATTTGCTTTGCTTTTCTGGATACCTCTTTTTCGCTGTGGTGTAAAAAGTTGTAGTGAGATAATCAGTTTGGTATTTTACACATCAACCTTCCCATTTCTGATCTAGCAATAAACTTCACCAGAGGAACAGAGGGTCCTGCTCCTTCACAGCTAATGTGTCAGCTGTTTCAACTGCTCCTCAGTAATAGAATTTTTAAAATATTGCAGATTTTATCTGTTTAAAAAGAATTCATTAAGTTTAATGTGACATACAGCCAGGAAATATTTTAAGTCAGAGCTTGTGCAGGACAAAGAAACAACTAAGATGAATGTTAATCAAATCAATTTCTATGCAAATTTTAAATTAAGTTTCTCAGATTTCATTGTCAATGGCTTACAAATATTTATTTTAGATTGGAAATGAGCAGGAATTTCTATGACAACATGTACTGCCTGCTGTATTCAGAAATATTTGTTAATCTCAATAAAGTGTTTAACGTCCTCATCATATTAGTCCTGGGTATAGTACACTTTGCATCAGCAGAATAAAAATCTATAAACTCTCTGGAAATTTTGCAAATTTTTTTTGTTTAGCCAAATAGTTCTGAAATGTTTTTATTATCACTGATTTCAGCATAATTTCAACTCAGGTCTAATTACTTCAGAGATATTTAGTCTCAGAAAATTTTATCAGCAAAGTACTGGATCTAGAGATTTAACCTTTCATTAATGTCAAAATGAAACTACTTTCTTTAAAACAACTGAGAAATCTCTTTGCCCACTGTTTCAATGCACATAAATAAAGGTCTCAGTGCAGTCACTTTCCCGAGTATTAGTCTGAGACTTGTAAAGTACAAACCCTCATTTTTCCTACAAACACGAGGGAACTAAACAAAACCATCAAACAACAACAAAATGTGCTACAAAGTTTAGTTGATTCAAACATACTTGAACCACAACAATACCATACCCAAGTCTTTCAAACAGTTTCAGTAAATGTATTTGTGTGCTTTAAGATACATTGGCTATATAAAATGCTAAGGAACATTATTCCTGTCAGTCTTCCTGCAAATCTTTTGGCAGCAGAAGGATTTGCAGTTCAAATAGAAATACCCAGAATACTAAAGAACAATAGTATAGGAGGGGCAGTAAAATTATGACTAGCTAAATTCAGACATGCCTTTTTGAAAATCCCAGCAGTTACTCAACAGATTTTACCTCTATAGAGAATAAGCATTGAAGTTACTTAAGGAGGAAGAGTTTTAGAGACAAAAGCAGCTTTCAGCATAATTTACTAAAGGAAGCTTCCCCAAACCCTTTTTAAAAACAGTCTTTTTTTCTGGATACTTGAACAAGCCAGAGAAACCACAATTAAGTGTGCTATTATTTCTCCTATTTTTAGTGGGTACAAAGTCAAGTCTTGCAGCCTGAAAGCTGAAACAGTACTGTATGCGCATTTTGAACATTGGATATATATAAACTCCCAGAAGTTGTAAGTATACCTTTTCTCCCCTCTTCTTTAGCCATTTCCAGGGATGTGGACTGACCAGAGAATGGCTGTGGTGATGCTAAGGGGCCAGGACCATACATAACTCTTTCTCAGGAACGCGTGCAAGAAATTAAAGCTGAGTGAGTAAATAAGGATAATGCGATTCAGGCAATCTGTAAGTTAATTGCCAGCCGATTTACCGGGGATTTGTAACCTACCTTCCATGAAAAGAGCTCTGTGTGTTAGCTGGGGACCAAGCAAGGAGCACACGGTGCATGCAGGCATTTGCACGCGTGTTAACATGCATGAGGGAACACCGAGAACGGCAGCTCACGCAAAATTTTCTCATTCTTCACCTTTTTTCTGGTTTTAATTTATGCCTTGAAACTTACCCACCCTCCCA